CAATTTAGCATACCCAATTCACCTGTACCGCATGCATTTGAACTGTGGGGGAAACCGACGACAACATGGGGAGAACATGCAAACTCCACACAGAAATGCCAACTGACCCAGCCGAGGCTCAAACCAGCGACCTTCTTGCTGTGAGGCGAGAGAGCTACCCACTGCGCCACTGCTTGACTAATTATTGATAATAACTTATATTTTATATCTTAACTTTATAATTTTATTTATATTTTTATTTTATTAATTTTTTTAGCATCATTTTAATGCTCATTTGCATTTCTGACAAATAATCAATAAACCAATCAAAATTTTGAATCAAAATCAAAAACATTTTAAAAAGGAATTATGAAAAAAATGTATTTAATGGTCATTAGTTTTTTTAATTGATTTTATTTATTTGTTAATCCAAGAGTTTTATTTTGTTTTTGGGTTATTTTTTTACTTGATCTATTTTTCATAATGATTTATCCATTATAAATAAATAAATAATTAAATGATTATATTAGATATAATTTTCATTATATATCTAAATTGTCGATCCCAGTTGTAAGAGCAACACATAATAACCTGACTTCTAGTTGATCATTTGGAAAAGTGGCAGAAGGTGGATTCAAGCAAATGTGTAAATATTAGATCTATTCAGCGATAACGTTAATTGCATTGGCATATTAATCTGACGTTTTCCCAGCTTGTAGTAGTCGATCAAAAAGCGATTTAGTTTGTTATGACTATATAGCAGTGGAATTTACTGCGATGTGACGGGGCTTGATCAAAGGCTGATCACATTCTCTTCTAAAAAAAGAAGAGTATCTTTTCCAACAAAAAAATGATCACAGTCACAGCCAGCATCCCACAAAAAGCACTTCGAGCCTCATTTTGTGCATTTCAAATTGCAAAATCCAAAAAGCCGCTCACCATATATATTTGACTGCTTTGAATGGAGACATTTTTTACCCATTTTTCCAAATTAAAATATTATGGTGGGTCCCGGAATAAAACAGTTTGGGAATCCCTGCTTTATAAGATAGTTGAGGGAGACTCTGACTTAGAGTCTGACAGTCAGATAATTAGAGAACGACAATCAGTTTTAAATCACAGTTTGTTTTGGATTAACCTCACTTCTTCTTTTTTTTCAGTTCATCTCTCTTTCAGGCTAAACTGTTTCAGGAACTTTAAGACAATTTCAAAAATGGGTTTTGATTAGTTTTTGTTATATTAATATTGGATTAATTTCCCTTTACAGCCATATGCTGTACAGTTTGGCGGTCGTTTCGAAATAAAATGCTCCTGTGGTCCACAACAGTGGACATGCTGTAAAATTAAAAATAAAGGCTATTTTACATATTTCACTTGTGTATATCAAGTATATAACTAGTAAATGAAAATAAGGAATTATGAAAAACAATCACTGAAATCACTACTTTAAACTATTTCAAAAGCCACAAAACACGCTTTTTAAAATATCCATTTGTTTTTTTTAATTAACAACCAACGTGTTAATTTAATATTTATATCTAGAATATGAAGAAAGTTATTAGCAAAGGTAAACGACTCAAACCTGGGTTGTTTTAGAGAGGCACTATTGGGCGGATTTGTTTATGCTGTTGACTATCAGAGTTTTAATAAAGATACCGTTTCAGTAAATGTTAATAGATGTCATTTCTCTCATCAGACACAGATGTTATTGTTTTATCATAGTATAAACACCACTTGTGTTGCGATATTGTTTGCTAACGTTATTCATGGGCATTTACACATTGTGGGCGTTGCTAAATAGCTTGAACACATTTTATCGCGGCTTCATCTTGTACACAGCAACACATTAATATGCATGAGATGTAAATTAAGCACTTCAGACTTTATAACACTGACTATAAACTTTACCTTTGACTTGAATGAGTCTGGTGGCCATTACTGACAGGCCAAACAAACACAAACAATGACATTAAGATTATCCCGTTATGGACGTCAAATAGCTGTCATACCTGATTCCTCCGCGCTCCTCTATGCTTTGAAAAGACGCTTCGATTTATTTATGACAAATATTGTCGTCATATTTACACACTGTGAAAACAAAGCTTGATGTGATCACGTTAGCTGTAAAATCGTAACACTTCCTGCATTGTACGAATCTGCCCCACCCACTACAGTCAGCTGACCGTGAGTCGCGCCCTAGACTGACCAATCGCTACGCGCCTACGTGCATATTTTTTAGGACTCCTTGCTTGTGTCACTATGATGGAAGCACAAATAATAAATAACTTGAATAATAATCACAAATAAGCTTAAAATAAGAGTGGAAAAACAACTACAAAAATATGGATTAATAATTATAAAAAAATAGATAAAAATTTGATTAATAATTAACGAAACAGTTCTAATAATGGCATTTTAAGTGTTTAAAACAAACTCTAAAATATTAATTAATTAAAAAATATTTTTAAAACAAACAAAATTAATGCATTAAATCAAGATAAAAAGATAATTTCCAAACACACCGTACACTAAAATGTGTATAAAATAAAATATACATTTTGAATCAATAGTTAACAAATTACAATTAATAATCCGAAAATAAATATAGTTATTGGATTAATAATTATAAAAATATATAAAAAAAAACTGAAACAAACTAATGAAGGTTAAATAACGAAATCTAGTTTCCAATTACAAAACAAATTCAATTAAGTGTTTATTTTATAAACTAAATGTAAATTATGGACTAATAATTATAAAAATACATCAAATAAAAACAAAATATGACATTTGGATTAATAATTATAAAAACAGTACAAAAAACCCTAAACAAACAAAAAAAAAATTACTATTAAATGGTCAACCACACCATAAATAAAATTATAAACATAAAAAAATTACAATCATAATAAAATAAAGTAAAATAAGAGTATAAAACTAAATAGAAAATATGAATTAATAATTACAAAAATACATCAAATAAATTTTTTTTTTTTTTAAATCTGTCTTTCGGATGAGACATTAAATCGAGGCCCCGACTCTCTGTGGTCAGTAAAAACCCCAGGATTTCCTTTGAAAAAGAGTAGGGGTTTAACCCCGGCATCCTGGCCAAATCTGCCCACTAGCAGCTGTCCATCCTCCTAACCATCCTCATATCATAAATGAAGACATAAGTGTCTCCTCTCCACCAATCAGCTGGTGTGTGGTGTGCGGTCTGGCGCAATATGGCTGCCGTTGCATCATTCAGGTGGAAGCTGCACAATGGTGGTGGATGAGGAGATTCCCCCAACGTGTAAAGTGCTTTGAGTGCCCAGAAAAGCGCTATATAAATTTAAGGAATTATTATATCAATTAATATAATTAAAAACAATATTTGGATTAATAATTATATAGTACAAAAACAAAACAAATGACTATTAAATAACGAAGAAAAAAAGAATCCAATCACACCGAAAATTAAATGTAGTATATAAAACTAAATATAAATTATGGAACAATAATTATAAAATTGTTAACATTTTGAAAATATAATAATTTAAAAAACAAAATATGACATTTGGATTCATAATTATAAAAATGATAAAAAAAAAATAACATCAAATAACAGGGAAAAAAATTGTAATTTCCAATCCCATTAAAAAAACATAAACAATATAAATTATAGATTAATACCTATAAAAACAGATTTAAAAAAGAAACAATCCAAAAACATTTGATCATTATAAAAATGGTAAAAATCAAACTATCAAAATTAATGACCCATAAATAACAAAAATATAATTTACAATCATAATAAAATAAAATAAGTGTGTATAACGAAACAAAAAAATATGGATTTATAGTTATAAAAAATACATAAAATAAAAATAACCCCAAAACAAAATAACATTTGGATTAATAAATATAGAAATAGTACAAAAACAAAACAACTGACCATTAAATAACGAAGAAAAACTAATCACACCAAAAATTAAATGTATAAAACAAAATATAAACTATGGACTAATAATTATTTAAAAATATAATCCATAATTATCCAAACCCAAAATATAACATTTGGATTAATAAATATTCATTCATTTTCTTTTCGGCTTAGTCCCTTTATTAATCAGGGGTCGCCACAGCGGAATGAACCACCAACTTATCCAGCATATGTTTTACACAGCGGATGTCCTTCCAGCGGCAACCCATGACTGGGAAACATTCATACACACTCATTTACACACACACTCATACATTATGGTAATTTTAGCTTACCCAATTTACCTGTACCACGACTTGTGGGGGAAACCGGAGCGATTAATAAATATAAAAAGTAAGAAAAATAAAAAAGTTTAAATAACCAAAAAAAAAACGGATTGTTTTCTTTGTTTTTCATTTGCACCTGGGGATACTCATCCTGAGGCCTCTAGAGATTGTGCAGCACCCTTGATGTGATCCAAGACCTGTGAAGAGATGATGCCAACCATAGAGGACTTGTAGTGGTCTCCATAATCCTGGACCAGGCCGTATCCTGAGCAGCTGCTGTGGAGGTCATGAAGGAGTGGAGAGCGTGAGACCGATTCCTGAAAGACCCCAGTGACAGACGAGTGTCTAGCTGTGGGCCAGCCTGAACACCCGCTGGTGACCTTATCACACCTGCAACTTCTCCACGACGGACCTCCAGCTTTCTCCAGCCTCCAACGCCTAGTCTGCAGCTCTGCACAAGAAGTTTGGCCAGAGGAGAAATGGTCGTGCCCAACTGAGCCTGGTTTCTCTCGAGGTTTTTTCCTTCACTTTCGTCAATTGGTAAAGTTTGTTCCACTGTTGGCACTGGCTTGCTTGGTTTGTGACTCGTAGAGCTGCACATCGATGGATTTGCTCTTCAGTGTTTGGCCTCTCAGCAGTGAAAATAAACCACACTGAACTTCAACTCTGAAAACCGAACAGACACAGCTTCAATCTACTACAACTTCTATGTGAAGCTGCTTTGACACAATCTACATTGTAAAAGCGCCAGAAAAATAAAATGATTGGAAAAATTGAATTGAATATAAACCTTTAATTTCATCTCAATCCGGGAACATCTGAGCACCACGCTAAATTAATAAAACACGCATCAGCTCGAGTATCTCAGCTGATTTATAATTAGGTGTACAAAATACAATAAAACAAAACCTGTAATTGCACTTGCAATGGAGTTTAATAATTCCTTCAAATTTAAAACGGCTGCCCAATTTCCAGTTTCAGCCTGCTCAAGTTAAGCTAAAGGCCAAATCAGCTCACAAAATAAAAACAGAATTAATAAAAACAAGCCCTTTAACACTTAATAAAAATTCACTGTCTACCTCTGAGAGCTTAAATACAAATGACAACAGATCTGCAGCATTTATGGCCACACTTTACAATAAGCTTCCATTAGTTCATGTATTTACTAACAAGAACAATTCAGCATTTATTAATCATTTACTAATGCATCATTAAAATCTAAAGTCATGTTTGTTAACAATAATTAATGAACTTTGAGTTAACAAGAACAATATTTTATAGTTAACGCACTGTCAGCGATCACAAACAACTATATTATTGTTAACAAACATAAATAATCAATGTAATAAATGTAATGTTCATTGTTTGTTAAATATACCATCTAATAAACTATTATTGTAAAGTGTTAGCGCATTTAGATACTGTAAATAAATGCTGGGGTCCACAAAATTCCTTCATGTTGTCCCTACATAAATAGTCCAAGTTAAAACTTAATTGTTTAAGTGTATTGGGCATAGAACGAGTAAGTTAGCTGGGTTCCACACAACGCAATCTAGTGTTGTCACGATACTTGAATTCAGTACCAATCCATACTGAGATTTTTAAAATGTCCATTTCCTGCTAACATTAGAGCGCGATCTTCAACAGCACTGATTGGCCATTGTGTTCACATGCTCAAGGGAAATGACTGTGATTGGCTTTGAAGGTCATCAGTTCACCGAACTCACCGCTGTTTACAGTGTGACCAAAGATACAGGTACACTGGAGCAATTTAAAGCCTTGATTCATCAGCGGATCACTTGTATGTCAGCTTATAGACAAACCAGCTGATCTTCGTGGCATTAAAATGCTCCAGTGTTCCTGTATTTGTGGCTACACTCAGTGAACAGCGGTGAGTTCGGTGAACTGATGACCTTCACAGCCAATCACAGTTATTACTGATGTTTAAGAACGTGCTCAACAGCACTTAAATGTTAGCGGGAAATAGACATTCAGTATCGATTGGTATAGAATTGCTGTATCGTGACCACACTTATACATTCACTTTGTCCCAACTAGTGTAATCATGATACTGGAACTCAGTAACAATCGATACTGAAGTTTTAAAAACCTCCACTTCCCGATAACATAAGCGCTGTTGAGCGTGTCCTTAAACAGCGCTGATTTGCATTTTAAAGTCACGTAGATCAGCTGGTTTGTCTATAAGCTGACATACGAGCGATCCGTTGATGAATCAAGGCTTTAAATTGCTGCAGTGTCCCTGTATCTGTGGTTACACTCAGTAAACAGTGGTGAGTTCGGTGAACTGATGATCTTCTCGGCCAATCACAGTCATTACTGTTGAGCATGTAAACACAATAGCGAATCAGCGCTGTTTAAGAACGCACTCAAATATTAGTGGGAAATGGAAATTTTTAAAACTTCAATATAGATTGGTGTCAAATTCTAGTATTGTGACAACACTAAAACATTCATGTTGTCCCAACTAGTGTAGTCACGATACTGGAATTCGGAACCAATCGAGACTGAAGTTTTAAAAACCTCCATTTCCTGATAACATGAGCGCTGTTGAGCACGTTGTTAAACAGCGCCGATTTGCATTTTAAAGTCACATAGATCAGCTGGTTTGTCTATAAGCTGACATACGAGCGATCCGCTGATGAATCAAGGCTTTAAATTGCTGCAGTGTCCCTGTATCTGTGGTTACACTCAGTAAACAGCAGTGAGTTCGGTGAACTGATGATCTTCACGGCCAATCACAGTCATTTCTGTTGAGCACGAGAACACAATGGCAAATAAGCGCTGTTTAAGAACGTCCCAACAGCGCTCAAACACTAGCGGGAAATGGATGTTTTTAAAACTTCAGTATTACTTGGCATCGAATTCCAGTATTGTGACAACACTAATACATTCATGTTGTCCCAACTAGTGTAGTCACGATACTGGAATTCAATACCGATCCATACAGAAGTTTTAAAAACCTTCATTGCCTGCTAACATTTGAGCACGTTCCTAAAAAGCGCTGATTTGCATTTTAAAGTAAAGTCGATCTGCTGGTTTGACTATAAGCTGATTTACAAACGATCCACTGATGAATCGCTGCTTTAAAATGCTCCAGTGTCCCTGTATCTGTGGCTACACTCAGAAAAACAGCAGTGAGTTCGATGAACTGATGACCTTTGGGGCCAATCACAGTTATTACTGTTGAGCATGTGAACACAATGGCCAATCAGTGCTGTTTAAGAACGTCCCAACAGCGCTCAAACATTAGCGGAAAATGGAGGTTTTTAAAACTTCAGTATCGCTTGGTATCGTATTCCAGTATTGTGACAACACTAATACATTCATGTTGTCCCAACTAGTGTAGTCACGATACTGAAATTCGATACCGATCCATACAAAAGTTTTATAAACCTCCATTTCCTGCTAACATTTGAGCACATTCCTAAAAAGCGCTGATTTGCATTTTAAAGTAATGTCAATCAGCTGGTTTGTCTATAAGCTGACATATGAGCGATCCGCTGATGAATCGCTGCTTTAAAATGCTCCAGTGTCCCTGTATCTGTGGCTACACTCAGTAAACAGCAGTGAGTTCGATGAACTGATGAGCTTCACGGCCAATCACAGTCATTACTGTTGAGCACGAGAACACAATGGCGAATCAGCGCTGTTTAGGAAGGTGCTCAACAGTGCTCAAATATTAGCGGGAAATGCACGTTTTTAAAACTTCAGTATCGCTTGGTACCGAATTTCAGTATCATGACAACACTAGTCCAAACACAAATCCATTAAAAGCAACATAACAAATTTAAGTGGATTGAACATAAAAAAAAATAAGTTTCCTCGCCAAAATAAATCTCCATAATTGTGTTGTTTAAGCTCATTTTAAATTAGTAGTTTGAACATGCAGGAATATATATATATATATTTTAGTGTAAAATAAATGCTGGGTTCCACACAATTCACGTCGTCCCAACACAAATCAATTAAGTTCGGGTAACACTTTAAAATAATGATCTATTAGTTAATGTATTTACGAACAGGAACAAACAATTAGTAATACATTTGTTTAACTTTTGTTAACGTCAAGTTAAATAACTTTAGATCATGTAAACTCACATTGGTGCATTAACTAATGAGAACAAGCATGAATTTTGATGTCAATAATGCATTAATAAATGTTAAACTATGATTAACAAATGCTTTACAAGATCATTTATACCAAGTTAATGTTAGTAAATACATTAAAAGTTAACTAATGGACCATTATTCTACACAAAATATGGCTACTTGTTTAAACTACTCATTTAAAATAAGTTTTTTTAGGGGGACAACTTAATTTTTTAATGTTCAATCGACTTAAAGGTGTAAAAACTAGAGTTAACTAGGCTTGTGTCTGGAAAACATGATGGAATTGTGTGGAACCCAGCATTAATTCCAGCGTAAAGTGTTACTCTTAATTGTTTACAAATTAAAACAATTAAGTTGTCCCAAAAACAAAAGAAAACTATAAATAGTGTGTTGTTTCAGCTCATTTTAACCAAGTAGTTTATCTTTTTGACTCTAATATATGCATTTGCTGCATAAAATGACCCAATATAAAAGAAAGTGTTATCAGCTGGCAGAGCTCAATAAACCACAACTCTTTTAGACACCAGCTTCATTTTCTGCCTTTTCAGCGATGTGTTTTGTCCTTCCTATATCGATGCCGATGTTTGCGGTGAGATCCTGGAGGTCTCGTGGGCTCTGGCGCAGGTAAATATGGGTGATGGTACGGTTCTCCAAACCTGTAAGAGGGAAACGGAGGCGGATACTGGTTTGAAGGACTGCAGTGAAATCCACTGAGGCTCTGGTTGGGATAATAAGATCTTCTTTCTGGTGGTGGATGAGTAAACGGTGGCGGACGGAAAGACTGATGTTCTGGAGGCCCAAACCGAGGCATGCTGTTTCTCTGGTGAAACGGGCTGAGAAGAAAAGAAGAACGTGTGAGGAAGACCTTTCATAATGCAAAATGCTCATGATTAGGGGTGGTATGCTTTTTAGCACAGCACACACAACAGCACACTCACTCGTTTTTAATCCTATCTTCAAAGTTGGCTAGAAGGCCTTCCTATTTGTATGTGTATATAGTAGTGCTTGTTATAAATGAATAATGTAATAATAATTGTGAGCTTCAATTTTGTGTATAAATTAATTTGCCTTCATAATCTCTCAAATATCATAGCCTTCCCTCCCCTTTTAAAATGACACTGGAATGCCTTTAGGGTGGAGCTATCAGTCTTCAGGGTGGGGCTATCAGTCATTGACAGCGGGGCTTTCAGTCCTTTAGAGTGGGGCTTTCAGTCTTTAGGGCGGAGCTATCAGTCTTCAGGGTGGGGCTATCAGTCATTGACAGCGGGGTTTTCAGTCCTTTAGAGTGGGGCTATCAGTCTTTAAGGTGGGGCTATCAGTCTTTAGGGCGGAGATATCTGTCTTCAGGGTGGGGCTATCAGTCCTTTAGGGTGGGGCTATCAGTCTTTAAGGTGGGGCTATCAGTCTTTAGGGCGGAGATATCTGTCTTCAGGGTGGGGCTATCAGTCATTGAGAGGAGGGCTATCAGTCCTTTAGGGTGGGGCTATCAGTCTTTAAGGTGGGGCTATCAGTCTTTAGGGCGGAGATATCTGTCTTCAGGGTGGGGCTATCAGTCATTGAGAGCAGGGCTATCAGTCCTTTAGGGTGGGGCTATCAGTCTTTAGGGTGGAGATATCAGTCTTTAGGGTGGAGATATCAGTCTTTAGGGTGGGGCTATCAGTTTATAGGGCAAGGCTATCAGTATTTAGGGTGGGGCTATCAGTCTTAAGGGTGGGGCTATCAGTCTTAAGGACAAGGCCATCAGTCCTTAGCGTGAGGCTACCAGTTTTTAGGGTTGCACTATCGGTCTTTAGAGCGGTGCTAAAAGTCATTAAGCTATCAGTTTTTAGGGTGAGGCTATCAGTTTTTAAAGTTGCACTATTTGTCTTTAGGGCGGGACTAAAAGTCATTAGGGTATCAGTTTTTAGGGTGTGGCTAACAATCTTTAGGGTGGGGCAATCAGTCTTTAGGCTATTAGTCTTTAGGGTGGGCTATCAGACTTTAGGGCGGGCTATCAGTCTTTAGGGCAGGGCTATCGGCCTTTAGGGTGGGGTGAGCAGTCTTTAGGGCGGGGTTATCTGTCTTTAGAGCGAGGTTATCGGTTTTTAGGTGGGGTTATCAATCTTTAGGATGGAGCTATTGGTCTTTAGGGCTGGGGTATCAGTCTTTAGGCTATCATACTTTAGGGCGGGGGGGCTATCAGTCTTTAGGGCAGAGCTATCAGTCTTTAGGGCAGAGCTATCAGTCTTTAGGGCAGAGCTATCAGTCTTTAGGGTAAGGCTATCTGTGCGTTTAGGTTGGAGTATCAGTCTTTAGGCTGGGGTTAGCAGTCTTTAGGGTGGAGTTATCAGTCTTTAGGGCGGGACTATCGTCTTTAGGGCAGAGCTATTGGTCTTTAGGGCTGGGCTATCAATCTTTAGGGCGGGGGTATCAGTTTTTAGGGCTGAAGTATTTGTCTTTAGGGAGGGGCTATCAGTCTCTTTAGGGTGAAGCTACCAGTCATTCAGGGTGGGGCTATCACTCTCTTTAGGGTGGAGCTTCAGCAAAGTCCTTAAAGGCATAGGAGAAGCTTACAAAAAGTCCTCCCGGTTGTCCCTGTGCCGCTCGTATGATCTCTGATTGTAGTTATTCAGTTCCCGCTGATGAGAAGGAGCCTCGTTTAGCGCCAGATTCGCAAGCCCCCGAACAGGCTCTTGGTCGGGTTCATCCATCCCATTATTACTGCAGATCAAACAAGTCAGAAAAACACACTTATTCAAATGGAAGAATTCAGTGAATATTTCCTCTATACTCGTAAAGTGGATCCCATTTAAAGCCAAATTCTCTGACTTTTTTATAAATACAATACATGTTGGTCATACTGCACATAATCTCTAAGATTTAAGACTTAGAGATGTTTGATTGGATGGAAAATGCTCAATCGTCATGGTAATTTACAATCCACAGCTAACCTGTCCCAGAGCTGGTTTTACTCTGATTTAGTGATTGTGAACCTAAACTAGACCAATCCGCTGTAAGTAAAGTCATGCATATCTGATGCAACAAAGCAGTACCAGAGTGTCTTTTCTGCTCCAATTAAAAGTCTTTTACAACATAACAACATATACATTTGTTTTAATATTTAAAGCTTTCAAAATGCCTGTTAAAAGAGTTGTTGGTGAACCTACATTATCAAAATGAATGATGGATTTGCATTGATATACTATTAATTTCTTTAAGTTGAAGTCAGTATTATTCGCCCTACTGTGATTTTTTTCTTTTTCAAATATTTTTAAAATGATGTTCAACAGAGCAAGAAAATTTTCACAGTATTCTCTATAATATTTTTTATGATTTTTATACTTTAAAAGGTCTAAAAAAAGTATCAACATCAATAAATTATACAAAAATATTTCCCACATTGGTAACATAACAGATCCTGAAGGCAGGAGTGCTGAAATGGTGCAAAATTTCATCTTAATAAGACAATCTTTAACTTGTTTTAACCAAACCCAGCAAAAACAGAGCAAAATGTTTAAAGGTGTAAAACCAAAAATGAAAAACGTGTGCAATGAATCAGAATCATCTTATTTAGAGTTCACCTTCTCTTGGGCCCCGTGGTCAGGTCTTGAAGATAGTTCTGCCTCTCTATCGAGTGTCCCCTTGATTCATTAAACACTGGAATAAACCACAGCATTCAGATGTAAAATACACAAAGCATGCAAACGCTCAAGTCTGACAAGGTATACTTACAATTAATTGCTTTTTGCGGCATCATCCCGTCGACATCGATTAGGTATCTATGATACAATATTTAACAGTGACAACTGCTGGATGCACAAGTTCATCTAAGGACAAAGTCGATGAATCACGAACACAGCCGGCAGCACTTCACAATGAGAAAAGAAACGTACTTACCGACATATTAAATAACCGGTGCGGTTCAAACCATGTGTACAATGAACACCAATCAGCTTATCTGAAGAACAAAACATAACCTATAATTGCCGTAAGTCTCCCTACAAACTCTGCATTGCTAACTTATCGTATGATGGTATTATGGGCTATTTAAAGAGATGTATTTGTAAGTATGAGGACCTTCAAAAAAAAAGGAGAAAAGCATTTCATGCAAAGTTTTTGAACTTTTCTTTGAAGTAAAATTTAATTTTAAACCGTTCATTTTGTAAATAAGTTTGGAGTCAGTAGGAATTTAATGCTTGCCTTCAGAGAAGATGCATTCAGTTAATAAAAAGTAATTTTAAAAGCATTTATAATATTGAAACCACTTCTATTTCAAATAAACGCTGTTGTTTTGAACTTTCTATGCTACAATAAATCCAAAAATAACCATGTTTATCTTTTAAGATGCATTTTCTAGAATTTCACGGTTACATACACTCACCGGCCACTTTATTAGGTACACCTTACTAGTACCGGGTCGGACCCAATTTTTTTTTAGAACTGCCTTAATCCTCCTTTGCATAGATTCAACAAAGTACTGGAAAAATTCCTCAGATATTTTGCTCTACATTGACATGATAGCATCACGCAGTTGCTGCAGATTTGTCGTCTGCACAACCATGATGCCAATCTCCTATTCCACCAGTTCCCAAAGGTGCTCTATTGGATTGAGCACTGGTGACTGTGGAGGCCATTTGAGTACAGTGAACTCATTGTCATGTTCAAGAAACCAGTCTGAGATGATTCACGCTTTATGACATCGGAAGATGGGTACACTGTGGTCATAAAGAGATGGACATGGTCTGCAACAGTACTCAGGTACGCTGTGACGTTGACACGATGCTTAATTGGTACTAATGGGCCCAAAGTGTGCCAAGAAAATCTCAGTTTCCTGTTCTTAGCTGACAGGAGCGGCACCCGGTGTTGGTCTTCTGCTGCTGTAGCCAATCCGCCTCAAGGTTGGATGTGTTGTGTGTTCAGAGATGCTCTTCTGTATACCTCGGTTGTACCGAGTGCTTATTTGAGTTGCTGTTGCCTTTCTATCAGCTAAAACCAGCCTAGCCATTCTTATTTCCTCTTTTTCAGACCATTCTCTGTAAACCCTAGAGATGGTTGTGTGTGAAAATCCCAGTAGATCAGCAGTTTCTGAAATACTCAGAGCAGAACTGCATCAGATCGTCTTGACCATGTCTAAATGCACTGAGTTGCTCCCATGTGACTGGCTGATTAGAAATTTGCATTAATGAGCAGTTGGACAGGTGTACCTAATAAAGTGGCCGGTGAGTGTGCATACACAATTACATTTTCCAAGCAGTTTCAAGAACTTTATCCAAAATCAAAGCACTTTTAAAACCTTGAAACCACTAGATTACAAATCAAGCATTTTCAAATATTTCCAACGCTCGTATGAACACTGAACATTTTTTAAAAATCATACAAACACAAGTGTTTTTGCAATGTAAATGTATGTTTTTGCATTTTTGTTAATTTAATAAACTGTAGCTCACCATTGCTTGCATTGTCATGCAGAAAATGTCTAACAGCCTTCTTGAAGCTGAGAATGGTGGCATCATTTGGCACTTCATGCCCTGCTGTGAAGATCTTCATGTAGTACAGCGTATCTGGCAAATCCTGACACAAACACAGGCACACATTTAGAGACAATCACAAATAAAAAAACAACAAACTGGTTTTCAATCGGACCTTGTTAGACTGGATTCTCCAGCATGAAGGAGACATTTATGTTGCATGTGATTATCTATTGATTAATCGTGATTGTAAACTCTGTGTTTATTGTACCTCTGCTCTGTAGTATCTGGTGGTGAAGGTCAGATCGATGATGAGACCCAGCTGCTGTCTTTCCTTCTCCAACAAACGCACCAGATCAAACGGGCCAAAGACTTCTGATTCTGATAAATGACGTCTGAAAGACTGAAACAGAAAGAACTGATAACTAAATTAAAGATTATATGAGGTTTATATAAACAGATCAATGATTTAGGCTATAGATGACCAAACAAACAAATAAATTTATTTTAAATTCAATTATTAGACCCCTGTTTATTTTTTTTTACCCAATTTCTGTTTAACAGAGAGCAGATTTCTTCAGCACATTTCTAAACATAATAGTTTTAATAATTCGTTCATAATAACCGATTTATTTTATTTGTCATGATGGCAGTACATATCATTTGACTAGATATTTTTTAAGACACTTCTATACAGCCTAAAGTGACATTTAAAGGCTTAACTAGGTTAATTAGGTTAACTAGGCAGGTTAGGGTTATTAGGCAAGTTATTGTACCACAATGGTTTGTTCTGTAGACTATCGAAAAATATATGTAAAAAAAAATATATAGCTTAAAGGGGCTAAAAATTTTGACCTTAAAATGGCTTTTAAAAAATTAAAAACTGCTTTTATTCTAGCCAAAAAACAAAACCAATAATACTTTCTCCAGAACAAAAAGTATTATCGGACATACTGTGAAAATTTCCTTGCTCTGTTAAACATCATTTGGGAAATAATTAAAAAAAGAAAATTTAATCATTTAATAATTCTGATGGTTTAATAATTTTGATTTCAACTGTATATATATATATATATATATATATATATATATACATATATACATAAATATAACAATAGAAATATAAACTAAAGTAACATATGACTTAAAACAGATCCTACATTTTTAATTAAATTTAATCCTAAATTAATGTTTTCCTTCATTTATTAATTTTTTTTGCATGTATTTTTATTCAAGCTTTATTATTTTAAACTGTAATTAATTTGTTTTTCTACTTAATTTTCTATTGATTTATTTTTGTGTTTATTTATTTGATTTAATTTTACTTTGGCTTAGTCTATTTCAGAGGTTGCCACAGCGAAATGAACCGCCAACTATAACAGCAATAGTAGTAGTAGCAGTAGTAGTAGTAGTAAAACTTTATTGTTCTTGAAAGAGAATGTGTTATGGGCAACACCATATTGCTGCAGACATTCCATAAAAACAAACAATAAAAACAATACAAAATCCAGCAGTTACAAGAATTACAATGCTAATTAAGATACATTTTTGTTAAATAAACCCACTGAAACAGCTACAAAGAATTGCTTATATCGGTTCAACCTTCACTTAGAGACTCTATATCTCCTACAAGAGGGAAGCAGTTCATAATGTGCAAAACAAAAAAATTTGTTGGATCGTTTACAATCCTTTCCACCTGACTGAGGAAAAAATTCTCATATAAAACTGAAGGATTAAAATATTCATCATGACCAACAATTTTCCATGCTGTCTTTAAGAGATGCATTATCTTAGATTAACACTGTACAGATAGGTTGTCAAACCACACTGTGATCCCATACCTGACAATGCTTTCAAGAACAGCTTTATAAAACATCATGAGCTTCTTGTTAACTCCATAAAGACACAACCTCTGTAAAAAAATACAATCTCTGGTGTAAGCAAGAGCAAACCCACTCTATATGTGTTTTCCATGTAAAAGAACTGTTAATGTAAATGCCCGAGTACTTACAGGTCTGAGCAATACGATGGTCGTGTACAACCACTTGACGATGGTCACCTATACAATTTGGGTCAAATACCATCTCATCTGTTTCCTTAGCATTTATTTTACACAGCGGATGCCCTTCCAGCAGCAACCCAGTACTAAGAAACACCCACACACCCACACTCATACACTACAGCCAATTTAGTTCATTCAATTCCCCTATCGCGCATGTGTTTGGACCAAGTGTGCCGCAAGCCTACGTTTGAGTGAAGGTTTCGGCCGTTAGATCGCCCCCTGGGGGCTGGCTGCAGTACAAGTCATAAAGCCCGCCTCCTCCGTGTTAATGAAGGAGACTTGAGCCCAAATAAAAAAAAATATTACACTTGCAATAAAATGTCCCGAAAGATAGTTCTGGTCGATTAAGGCACTGGTTATTGTGCTGAAATAGGTGCAGATCTTTATTTTTGTAAACAGTTTGTTTTTAGCAGTAATTTAATGCTGGGCGTGTCATCGTGATTGACAGCTGTGATTGACAGTTTCTCAAAGCGCGGCGTCTGAGCTTCGGCAGGAGACTGAAGTAGACTGAAATGTTATTATTCGATTTCTGTGTTATTTTACTATGACAAAATGAGTTCAGCAGTAAACTATAGTTTCTGACATACATGATCCTGGTGGAACACTGTTTATTCGCTAAGTTCAGGGCTTTTTTTCGGGCTTTATTAGTTTGCTGATACACGCCTAGCCACCCAGATAGCAAAACACAGTTCCGGCTAGATTCTCGCCTGCCGGAGACTTATCTCTTAGAGCTCAGACTGACTAATGTTACCTCTGCTGGACCTACTCCGGATGCCTGGACTCACTACCCAATTCCAGCCCGAGTCAATCGAGCCAGATGCGGCGGCCGAGCGAGCAGGCGCTGCCGCATGCGAGCCGGAATCAGCCCGCGACGCCGCGAGTAAGTTATGCGCTGCGGCCTGGAGCTGGCGCGATTGAATATATAAAACCCTCATATTTGTTAACGTTATTACATCCATTTGTGTTGATATGACAGCAAACGCATGCTGAGCAGTTCGGGGGGCGTAGTTGATTTTACATAAAGCGTTTGATTGGAAGCTCGACTCTGCTCATTTTCGCGGCTCCTCCTCTGGCTCCATCAGACAGTCCTTCTGCGCATGTCTGGCTCCAATTTCAGCAGTCTTTTGCGACAGTTTGTGCCCGTCAAGCAGGCGTTTTGCCCTCAAGGCGTTCAATGGGAAAAGGGGCTGTCGAGTCGTCCATATTTTTTACAGTCATTGGTTTGGACTGTGGGGGAAACCGGAGCAAACCCACACCAACACAGGGAGAACATGCAAACTTCTCACAGAAATACCAGCTGACCCAGCGACCTTCTTGCTGTGAGGTAACAGTGCTAACCACTAAGCCACCATGCTGCCACTTATTTATTTCAGTATTCATTTATTTCATACATTATATATATATATTTAATGAATTTTTTGCAGATTTGGTCCTCTATAGATCAAGGATTTAAGCAAGTGTTCAAACCTGTTTTAAGGGAACTTTAAAGGCGATGAATCGTGTACCAGGTATCCGTTTACCTAATGATGTGTAGTCAGTCCATCTAAAACAGAAAAACAAGTAAATTCTATATTAAATAATAACAATAATCATAATAATAATAATTTAGAAAGACAGTGAACACAAACCTGTCAGGAACGCCATTTTTCTTATTTGGAGCCATGTTTTCTCAGCTGTTCAGTGCTTCTCAATGCCATACACTTCTGAAAAACACACATGACTCTAATTACAGCCAACACAACAGATAAACATTCACTGCACGCTACAGTCTACACTATTTAGTTTGCTTGAGTGAGTTTAAGGTTTATTTACATTCATCAGAATCAGACAATGGTTTCACTTTCAGTCATTACACAAACAAAAACATTAATTTAAACCATTTCTGCCTGAATTGTTCTTATTGGTTTATACTGACGGATGTTAAACCTAAATAACATTAAGCAAAATAGACAAAAGGGAGAATGACAACTGTAAACTCCGGCTAAAATAGTTGCCGGTGGGCTTAAATGGGTTACTATTACGGCCTATTGGTTTCTATTTAGATACCGAAAGCCTTGTGTTTAGGATGAGTATTCTATCATGTAACAATAAATGTAATAAAAAATCAAACTTTACTAAAAACATGACGATTACCTCTGAGATTGCTCCTCTTCCACGTTACAGTGTGCCTCGCTGGCTGCGCCGCTGCCGGCGCTCATCTGCGGGGATCTGCAGACTCCGCTGCCGCCTGCAGGCCGGGAGGAGCAGTGCAACAGGCAACACAGGGGCTCAGTGGTTAGCACTGTCATCTCACAGCAAGAAGGTCGCTGGTTCGAGTCCCAGCTGGTTCAGTTGGTATTTCTGCGAGGAGCTTGCATGTTCTTCCCGTGTTGGCGTAGGTTTCCTCTGAGTGCTTCGGTTTTTCCCCCACAGTCCAAACACATGCACTGTAGGGGAATTAAGAAACTAAATTGTCTGAAGTGAATAAGTGTGTGTGTGAATGAGTGTGTATAGATGTTTCCTAGTACTGGGTTGCAGCTGGAATGACATCTGCTCCGTAAAACACAAGTTCATTCCACTGTGGCGTCCTCTGATAAATAAAGGGACTAAGCTGAAGGAAAATGAATGAATGAATTATTTTGTCTAATGTAAAACAGTCTATAAATGCCATTAAAAGGTCATTAATGGCAGTAAGGTCAGTAATTTTGTACTGCATGTATCCTGTGAAAAAAAAAACACAAAAAATTTCCAAGTGTGTTTAAGCACACTTGGTGAGCTCATTCTAATTCTGAAATTTTAAATATCTTAAAGTTAGTTTTTAAATTTAGTTAATATTTTAAATATCTTAAAATGGGAAATTAACTTTCCCTCAGCAGGAAAGAAAGACACATAGCAGACAGACAGATAAGCAAGTTACTGCTGAAGGAAGTCTGTGAATAGGGGAATACAGTGAATAAAGGGAAATGTTTCTCTGCAGAAGTCCAGATTTTATCTTTCAGTCCGACACTGACAAACCCAGACGTCACCCAGACTCAATCAAATTAACTAAAGCTCAGTGTCTGAAGGGATTTTTGACACATGTATGAGTTTGAATATTATTATCATGTTCTTAATATAATTTTTTCAGTCACATTTTGAGAGGTCTTGTGGGTTGGAAAAGAAAAGAGGTCATAACTATAAAAGTCTATGCATTAGAAATGCAATTACATTATCTTATTAATCCTTTTCAAATATTTCCCAAGCACTGTGTAATGGAGAGAGTTTTTTTTTTTTTTTTTTTTTACAGATTTTTAAACACACTGGGTTTAAAAAACATTGGGTTATTTGTTTAACCCAATGGTTGAGTTAATAATATTTGGTGCTTTGTTGGGTAATTTAACCTTTATTGGGTTATTTATTAATAATTAAACCAGTTGGGTTAAATATTTTGTGTTTTGCTGGGTTATTTTTTAACCTTTATTGGGTTATTTATTAAATAACTCAACCTGTTGGGTTAAAAATGACACAGAACATTAATATGTGTGATTAATGTTGTTTTTGCATTATAAAGTTTATTCAAGCTCTAATGCAGTATTGTTGTTGTTTTAATCAAATTACCTCTCTGTGTCGTGTTTTTTATATCCCCTTCACCAACACTTTTAATTGTATGACACAAACACGCTTCATAGCAGATTTATACAGATAAAACCGCTTTCTCTACCTCAGTTTTCATTACCACAGTTTTTTTTTTTTTTTTGAGGAAATGATGCAAATATTTAATCATAAATATAAAATTTTAAGATACTTAGCCGTCATTCTCACTTTTAGGACCCAGCGGAGACAGCAACCCAATAATAATAATTAATTATTTTATAGTGGTTATTCCACTTTTTGGTAAAATGACCGAACATTTTTGTTACTTTTGTAATCCAAATTGTTCCGTTAACCTTAACAACTCAATGGATTGGGTTACAACAATAATAATAATAACAATAATAATAATAATAACAACAACAATATTAATAATAATAATAATAATAACAATAACAATAATAATAAACTTTTTTATTTGTATTTTTTTGTTATTTATTTTTAATCATTTTTATAGTGCTTTTCTAGACACTCAAAGCGCTTTACACAATATTGAGGGAACCAGTGTGCAGCATCCACCTGGATGACGCGACGCAGGCGGCAGCCATATTGCGCTAGACCATACACCAGGGCCCGGTTTTTCAAAAGGTTTAATCCGGATCAAATTGATCTGGATTTAGTAATCCTGTTTTTGCGATCCATGATCACGTAATCCAGCTTACTTTTTGAGCCAGTTTTTCAAAGCAACATCGGATTGGATCAATCTGATCCGGATAGGAACTTTTCAGGATCACTAAATCTGGAGTACCAGTGCTCAATCACAATGTAGATAAAGATAGGCCTGTGTAAAGAGCAACAAGTAGAATAGCCAGTGTGGGGTAGATATAACTTTATTTTTATTTAAAATGAAAACTAAGAAAATGTAATAAATAATAAAATAATAATAATAAATAATAAAAACAAGAAAACCCCCACCCCATCCTCTTCCAGCAGTCCGCTCATCTGAGACCTACAACACTGTACAGTGAGGATATTTATAATAAGTTTCAAATATAGATGTAAAAAAAAAGACACTTAATGTCAAAAACTCCACAATAATCTCAGACTTCCTCATCTGATGTGGAGAGAGCAGCTTGTCTGAGCGCAGCCTTTAGGAGGCGGATCTGAAGTCTGGCCTTGGTTTGCTGCAGTTTGGTCAGAGTGAGTTGTTTCTCTGCCAGATAAAGCTGTGCTTCTGCCCTTTCAGTCTCTTTTTGCAATTGTTGAAAGAGATTTCTAAAATCAGTCATTGCCATTCTTTGCACTTTTTTTTTTGGTTATTCTGTAATCATTGCATGCGTCACTAATAAATATTCTAAAAAGAAAAATATTTTCAATTGTGATGAATAACAATTATTGACAATAAGCTGAAGGAAAATGAATAATACAATTATATCAATTATTGACAATAAAATGTATTGTTTTTGGTCAATTGACAGCTGTTTGGGGGATTATTTTATGAGGCCAAGCTATATCTACTTTGCTGTAGGCCTATACTGAAAGGCTGAATACGTTAAAGCCAATAATCACTACAGCCTGATGGATGAACAAATAAAATTAAAACCTTATGAATCAATAGTATATCTCGTAAGATACTGTGTGATCCAAAAATAGTGTTATTTAATAAAATTTTTAAGTTTTTATTACATTTTGGGCATGAAATCCACACTAAATCCACCTTTCTGATGGGATCAGTTTAATCCAGGTTTTTTGGATCAAAGTGATCTAGATCCTACAAAAAAGGTCTGAAAAACCCAAAGTAAAGGTTTGATCCGGATCTAAACCAAGATTAGATTACGTGATCTAATCCGATTATGTAATCCGTTTTTTCTTTTGAAAAACCCATTTTCAAGATTTGATCCAATCCCTTATCCAAAATCCTAGTGGATTACTTTTGAAAAACCGGGCCCAGCTGATTGGTGCAGAGGAGCCAGGATTAAACCCCTCCTCTTTTTTAAATTAAATTTAAAAAATTTTAATGCGAGTCCTCAGTTTCCTCAGAGGACCTCAGTTTAATGTCTCCCCTGCTATTTATCATCTTCTTCTACTTGGTTATATTTTCCGCAAACACCAAATCTATTTTCATTGGTACGCAGATGACCCCCAGCTCTACCTATCCACCAAACCCAACCTCAAACTCCCACCTTCATTCCTTACTAACTGCTTTGCAGACATCAAATCCTAGTTCACCTTAAACCTCGTGAAATTAAATGACAATAAAACTTCTCCTTATAGGTACACGATCCACTTTAAACAAATCACTTTTCCATTCCCACTGATGATTCTGTCATTACCCCCTCTCTTCAGGTTAAGAGTCTGGGGGTCATCTTCGACAGCACCCTTTCATTCACTGCACATGTTAATAATATCACCCGGCCTGCTTATCTCCACTTTCGAAATATAAATCGTTTACATCCTTCCCTCACACCTCACTCAGCTGCTATTCTTGTTCATAGTTTAGTCACATCCCGTTTAGATTACTGCAATTCCCTTCTGTTTGGCCTCCATAAAAAACTCTTTATAAAATTCATTATTATTATTAATAAGACGGCGCTCACTGAGCATCTGGGCCCGGTTTTTCAAAAGGTTTAATCCGGATAAAATTGATCCGGATTTAGTAATCCTGTTTTTGCGATCCGTGATCACATAATCCAGCTTACTTTTTGAGCCAGTTTTTCAAAGCAACATCGGATTGGATCAATCTGATCCGGATAGGAACTTTTCAGGATCACTAAATCTGGATAACCAGTGCTCAAACAGGATAGGACATCACAATGTAGAACTAAAGATATGTAAAGAGTAGAATAGCCAGCGTGGGGTCAATATATCAATATAAAATTTAATAATTATTAAAATAATGATAATAATAAATAAGAAAAACAAGAAAAACCCCACCCCATCCTCTTCCAGCAGTCCGCTCATCTGAGATCTACAACACTGTACAGTGAGGATATTTAAAATAAGTTTCAAATATAGATGTATTGAATAAAAAAAAGACTTAATGTCAAAAACTCCACAATAAGTTCAGACTTCCTCATCTGATGTGGAGAGAGCAGCTTGTCTGTGCGTAGCCATTAGAAGGCAGATCTCAAGTCATTGGCCTTGGTTTGCTGCAGTTTGGTCAGAGTGAGTTGTTTCTCTGCCAGATGAAGCTGTGCTTCTGCCCTTTAAGTCTCTTTTTGCAATTGTTGAAAGAGATTTCTAAAATCAGTCATTGCCATTCTTTGCACTTTTTTTGTTATTCTGTAATCATTGCATGCATCACTAATAAATATTCTAAAAAGAAAAATATTTTTCATTGTGATGAATATATATATCAATTAGTGACGTAATAAAATGTATTGTTTTTGGTCAGTTTTGACAGCTGTTTGGGGGATTATTTTATGAAGCCAAACTCGTTCTACTTTGCTGTAGGCCTATACTGAAAGGCTGAATACGTTAAAGCCTATACTCACTATAGCCTGACGGATGAACAAATAAAATCAAAACCTTATGAATAAATAGCGTATCTCGTAAGATACTGCATGATCCAAAAATAGATATAATTTATACATTTTTTAAGTTTTCATTACATTTTAGGCATGAAATCCACGCTAAATCCACCCTTCTGATGGGATCAGTTTAAT